TGATGGCCTGAATTTAATCCCTGCCGTCATCATGGTAGAAGCAGAGAACTGCTAGGTGATGGTGAGGCTCGCCTCTTATCTCAGCACTTGGGATGCAGAGGCAGGTGGACCTCTGGGTTTGACGCCAGTCCGCATAGTAAGTTCCAGGATATCCAGGACTACACAGAGAAACTGCGTCATGAAAAACAAAAAAGAAGGCGAGAACCAACCCCCGCAAGTTGTCCTCTGACCTCCACAAAATTGAACAGTGGCATTTGTCCTCCCCCATACAAAACCACATGATTCTAACCAACATTGCTCTCTGCCTATGTGCACATAAATGCATGCACACCCTAAATATGCAACATATAAGATACATGCTATCATATATTTTATTATTACCATACGCATCACTCTCCATATACAGATAGATATGCAGATACAACACATGGTCTATAGGAATGGGAAAGCGTTTCCCAACATTTCATCCTAGAAATATAAATTAAAACCAGCCTGAGGGACCGCCACACAGTAGACACGCTAGAATAGCTTTCCAGTGAAAAGACTGACTCCAGCAAATAAGAAGAATGTGGATGACTAGGACCTTAATAACTCAACATGCTTGTTCCGTAGCAATGGCACTCTCACCTGTTTACCTAAGAGCAATGGAAACATGCAAAAGGCCTTGCAGAAGACTATCCATAGTGACTATACGCATAATAGCTTCAAACTGGGAGCATGCCTGACGTCCTTTCATGGAAGAAAGAATAAACAAGTGTTACAGTCGTAACTGAATGCCACCCAGCAGTAAGGAAGATTCTTTAAGGGCCAGAAAGATGCTTCAGAGGTTGAGAGCACTTCGCTTCTCTTCCAGAGTTCAATTCCCAACAACCACATGGTGGCTCACAACCATCCATAGTGAGATCTGGTGCCCTCTTCTGGTGTGCAGGTGCACATGCAGGCAGAACATGTACATAATAAATAGATCTTTAAAATTTTTTTCTTTATGATACACTTCCAAAAAAAATTCCTGAGACAAAAGGTAGCGTGCCTCTATGTTCCAGAGCTGGCAAAGTTACACCATAGAGGAAGAGTCACAGCAGAGGCTGCTGCAGTAGGAGAAACTGCTGTAGGGCCTTGCTGGGGCGTGTGGTACTCTGGTACACACATTTTGCAAGGTGAAGCCAACTGCCTGGATCTGTGTGTGCTTTGCTGTGCTTGCCACAGTCAAAAGCATCTCAGACGGTTGCTCACTGCTGCCCTGAGAGGTTTCCGAACAGGCTGCTGGTTTGCAGGGGTCACTTTGCCCTTGCAAAGGTGTGTGCATTTTGAAAGCCATAGCGTTATTTTGACATAGGAAATCCAAATTCTGGCTTAAGATAGAACTTGAACCAGACATGAAGGCCTGGGGTGGGGGGAGTTGGGAATTTGGTGTCGGTAGTGGGGAGTACAGAAAAAAGGGCGAGAAGTGAGCATAGGAGAAAAACAGAAAATTCCTTCTCCAAAGAAGACACCTTGCTCAAAGTGAGCCTGGAAATGCAGACTCCATCCTTGAAAACACAAACGCGAATGAAGCAACAAAACCAACACTAGGAGCGGGAGGAGTCCGCTCTGAATGTAGCTGACCTGGGGCAATAGTGTGACACTGACTTTAAAAAAATGTTCTGAGTGCTCTCGTGATCGGAAAGAGAGACTGGCTTAGAGCTCAGGGGTGAGATACTTGCCAAACACAGGCAAGGCCCTGGGTTCATTCTCAGTACTGGAGAAATAGAAAGTAGAGGAGGGGATATGGGGGAAGGGAGGGAGGGAGGGAGGAAGGAAGGCAGACCTTAAGCAATCCTGCTGTGAAAGATTGAGCAATAAAGTAGCTTTACACCGCATTTTTAAACTAATGATATAAAAACAAAATTCGTCAGCACATAAACTCCATATGGAAGGTATACCCATTGCTGAGATAATTTTCCAGTGCCTACGAAGTCTGTTAGAATGCATTAGTGAATCTAAAGACAGTGCAGGAAAATGTACCCAGAATGGAACATATAGGGGCAAAGGTCACAATTTCCTAAAGTGTGAAAGAACAGTTAGTTTTTGGGCATGAAGGAATGACTGTCAAACTCCAGTGGGAGTCCCCCCTCCATCCCACCCCCGGGATTAGAAAAGACGAACAGCTGAAGAAGGAAGGGTGGTTTCTAAAATTAAAGCAACACCTAAATCCTCAAATCAAAAGATTAAAAAATAAATCCACATCTAGACCAGGGCAGAGAAATGGGTCTGAGAAGTGTTGAGAAGAAAGCACAGCAGCGATACATGATCACTGCAGGAGACCCTATAGGACAGGAAGCGTCTGTTACGCATGCTAAGGGCAACTAGACTAGCGTTTGGGACTATCAGAAAAGGAAAGTTACGGCCAGCATTCTGCATGGTTTTATGCCACCTGGACACAAGCTAGAGTCCTCTGTGAGAAGGGAACCACAAACGAGAAAATGCTTCTGTGAGATCAGACTGTAGGCAAGCATTTCTTATTTAGTGACTGATGTGGGAGGGCCCGGCACATTGTGGGTGGCACTATCCTTGAGCTGGTGGTCCTGGGTTCTGTAAAAAAAAAAAAAAAAAAAAAAAAAAAAAAAAAAAAACGCAGGCTGAGCAGAGCCATGGGGAGCAAGCCAGTGAGCAGCACTCCTTCATGGCCTCTGCCTCAGCTCCTGCCTCCTGGATCGTTTTCAGTTTGAGTTCCCACCTCGGCTTTCCTCAGTGGACTGTGATTTGGTATATGCAAGCCAAGTAACCCTTTCCTCCACCGGATACTTTAGGTCATGATGCTTCATCGCAGCGATAGGAACCCTAACTAATACAGTCAGAGACAAAGCACGTAAAAGATCATGCCACTCTGCAGAGCGTTGCTAAAGGAAATGTCCAGACAACTTGAGCAGAAAGAGGTGTATTCAAAAATATATTGACTTTCATCCTTTCTTTAGGAAACACAGAACACAAAGATAGCACAAGATTTACTATTTGGGGTCAGAATAGCTTATCTCTTGTGCTAACAAAGGGTAAAACTCATCCACGCGTGTGTATGGGCATGCATGCGCACACATATGTATCCACATGTATACACACAAACGCACATATGTCCCCATATATGAGGATTAAAAGCCAGCACAAATGTATTCTCAGAGACTGTGGCAGAGTGCACAGGGCTTGCACAGGTCTGAGCTAGACGGGGTCCCAGTGCTGAGGGGGAGAAGTGGACACAATCTCCCACACTTAACCAAGAAGCTACCTCCAACTGATAACTGCTTGACAATAAAAAAAAAATTCGTTTCTCCAATGGAGTCTTAAGGGAGGGCCCCAGGCCTAGAAGCAATGGCCAACAAAAAACAAACTCAATTTTTTTTTTCCTAAACCTCACTGATTTTTAGCTTATATATTATAGTTTCCGATTTTGTACGTGTGTGTGTGTTTCTTGTGCTTTTTCTAGGTTTGTTTTAATTTATTCTGGTTTTTTATTTGCTTGTTGGTTTTTTAAGGGGGGAGGGGAAGAATGGAGTTGAAGGGTATAGAATTAGGGACTATCTGGGAGGAGATGAGGGAGGGAAAACCATGATCACAATATGTTGTATGGGAAAAAAAGTTTATTTTTAATGAAAAAGAAGAGTTAGTTGGGCTAGTTTTCCTCTCCTCTTCACTGTGTTTGCTATTTAGTTGAAACACAAATCCATTTGCTCTTGTTTGTGTTTATCATTTAAATTTATGCTCCTTTCTCTTGGGGATGTGAAAGCATAGCATGACCCTTTTCAAAAGGTTTATTCAAATAAACGTCTCTCCTTCGCCATTGCTACGCTGTCAACTTTCCACACATGCCTGTGGGAGAACAAACCCATTAATATATAATCTATCTTTCCCATGCTTCTTCTTCATGAATGAGCAGATATGCATATATTTTCTTATTTCTCCTTTGCTTTACAAAAATAACCAAAACATTTCAGTGGAGGTCATCTTAGCCCACTGACTTTGTTTCGGTGGTTTTGAATCTTAGAAGAAGTCTGCAACATCCTGTGTTTGTTTGTTTGTTTGTTTGTTGTGGAAAGGGTTGATGGAGTACTCAGCAAATTCTCCCGCCCTAACCTCCAGGACATTATTTACCAGCTGGAATATGGGGAGGACTGTCACGACTCTCTCCGCTTACAGAGTGCAGATGCAGCCTGACTCTAGACAGGATGCTAGCTGGTGCACAGTGGTGGCCTTGATCGAGACGGCGGCTACCACAATGACTTTCTCTGAACAAACATAATTCAGAACTGCCTAAACTCTTTACTTCTTGTACCAGCTCCCATGGCAGCCAGGATGGTGGGCCTGTCGGCCCTTATGGTTACAGAAAGATATTTTAATGGAGACTCTAGACTCCGCTAAACAGACTTCACTATTGAGTTTTAAAAGCCACAGCTTTGAAGAACTCCCCTCATGTCTTCCCCTAAGTTGAAAAGGTTGAAAAAGACACCGTCAGGAGAAGATAGCTTTCTACTTCACTGTGGCCTCCTCTTGACATGGACCAGAATCTCGTCAGTCTGGTGAATCAGACCATTCCCTGCACAGAACTTTCAAGCCTTCTTCTCTGAGGGGTTAATCATTCTCCCCGGTGGGTCAACCCTGCCCTCACAGGCTACTCTGCGTCTGTCAGAGGCCAAGGATGGCTGTGAATGAGGCCCAACAGAAAACCGCAAGTTGACTTACAGCATTACGAAACGTTTTGAGTTTGTTTTGTTCAATTGTATAAACTTTATATGTGACCTGTCACGTCACAACGTCAGGGTTGAGACTGTCTAAACCAGACAGGACGGTGGGGCTCACCATATATTTTTTTAAGGGTCCGTTATCAAACAGCCTAACTAATTGTATGTGTATGATTCTTCTAGACTGTGGAAATGGAACCTAAGTCAGCTGAGCTACAGAAACCAGAGGGCACCACTGTTTATACTTTAACCAGTGTGTAAAGAAGATTCTTATGCAATCAGTTAACTGGGACTTTCTCCAGGAGGGATTTTGTGGCTCAGCAAGTCATTGTTGGGATGAAGCTTTATGGCTTTGGGGTCCTGGTAGCCATCCTCCTCTCTGAACAGCATGGCCTCGCCTTTCAGAGGTAATGTACCACCAGGGTTCTAGACAGGGCTGGCTCCTCACTTGTTTACCTTTCACGGAGTAAAAGTAGTGTCCCGGGGTGAACAGTTCTGTCAGAGACTTAAAATAAAGTGATTTGGGGATGATAGAATATCACTAGATATTTTTTTTCACGTTCTGCTCTGATTTTACCACTGTGATAAGTATATTCAGTGGCTACGAAGAATAAACAAACGGGATCGTAACAAATTACTTGTACCTTCTCATAGCACATGTCTTCTGTTCTTTCTGTCTCAACTCACAGAATATCAGCTAAATAACTAAATGTTTATTTTCTTCTTGTACATAGAGCACAGGAGGGAAAAGAAGGTAAAACTATGAAATTTCACGTAGTTATTGGGCATAGATGAGGAGAGGAAGTTGGGTTCCAACGGACAGATAGAAAAACCTTAGCTATTTCTTCATTTGCTTAGTAGAGTGATTTCCTGAGGATATTTGACTGCAAATGGCTTAGAAAACAAAATCTGGCCGCAGTATATACAATACATGGGATGGCAGCTGCAGCAAACATGCCCTGTTATAATTATTAACCAGTCAACGCTAAGCTTTAAAATGTAGATATAATTTTAGAATTGTTTTACTTTTTCTTTGTGTGGCTTCTATAACCCTTTTCTAAGTGGTCTTTGAGCTAGGTAGGTCCTTGTCTTCCCCTGACTGAACCAGGAAGAGATGGCACTTGAACATAGTATGGGAGGGAAAATTCTACCCATAAAAACCTTCTGTGAGTCATAAAACCCACAGAATAGTCAATCGTTTAAGTCATGTTGTCTGTCTGAAGCTGTGTTCGTAATAGCTGGTTGATTCTGTTTGGTTCAGTGTGACTGTCAAGAACCCAGCAGCAAATCCTTATTGTGAGAGAGTGGTTATTAATGGATTGGTAAAAGGAACAGAATTGCTAGAACAGTTGATAGCTTGTGTGTCTATATTTTATTAATAGTCAAGTATGTATGATTTTAAGACCTTTGTAGGGTCTAATATTCCATAACGTGATGACTGTCTTTTGTTAAAAGAAAGGCAGGAGCAAACTCATCGAACCCTAACCAGGTTATTGTAGAGGCAACACCACCATCTGTGAGCGGAGGGGAAGGAAATCTTTGTTATTTAGGAGTGTGTTTGACTCATGTACTAGGCTGGACACCACATTGTTATTTCTTTAAATGCCTTCAACCCTGCACTCTAGGGATCTCCCCTCCCCTCCCCTCTCTTTCTTTCCTCTCCTCTCACACCCTACCTCTATCAAATAGCTTCTTTTGTTGCCTGTGCTGCCTCTGCATTTCTGATCTCCTGCACGACCCTCCCAAGCGGGGTATGGTTGGACTGCAGAGGAACACTACTGAGCTGGCTTTGAGCCGCCATCGTGATTCTATCAGAAACTAAACTAGACAGGATTGTGCTGTAGCACAAAACACCAAAAACATTTCTCCATATATTTACAAAGTCATCAAATCTATACCCGTGCAGCAGAGCTAAATAAAACAAATGAAAGGGGCAAAAGGAAACGGTGAAGACATGAGCAAGAAAATTCTCTTTCGCATGGTTTTTACCTTTTTTCTTTGCTGTGGAATATACTCTGAAATTTTATAGACACTTAAGCTTGTAGAATGGGATGAGAAAATTATTACAGTTTAACCAAATAACACTCTGTGGAAAATATTTAGCACTTGGGCATACCCGGAGGAGCCATCTGTAAGAGAGGAGGAGGGGAGCAGCCATGTTGGAGCATCCCTGAGCTCTGAACTCTGCCCCCTGCACCAGAAATAATAGGATGAGCTTCCCCTCCCTGCAGTGTTTCTGAGCTCCGCTTTTTCGGAGTAACCTGTTCCTACCACTGAAAGAGAAATCTAATGTCATTCAGAGTGACAATCTTTGATAAATTCTTATTTCTGGGGGTTAAAATTTAAGCCTTTCTAAAAAGCGGCAACCAGCTGGCATTCCCCTGAAGCCTTTCTTTGTTACTGTTTTCTTGCCCGTGATCATTTTCCTAATAACAGTTTGTGTTGGAGCAATCTCCTCGTGGCTGATTTGTAGGTGCATTTTGATAACCCTCATCAGTGAAACGTCCTGGAACTGCAACAACACAACAGCTTTTTTAAAGGCATAAATCCCATATGCCAAGGAGGAAGGCAGCTGAAGTCCACATTTCCATATTCAGTTGATTTTAAAGGCCAGATACTAGGAATGGTAAAAATAAAATACTAGCCAAGAATCTTGTAAACAAAGTCGTTAATTGTATTGTGCAACTGACTATCTAAGTGCAGCCTGCCAGCCCAGGCCATTGGGAAAAGAAAAATGAGAAGCCTGGATGGAAAAGAAGAGAAAGGTTTGGAGAGGAAGGCATGGAGGGCATCAGAGACCACAGCACGCGTGCTTTTTGTTGACCTCATGTTCTGGCTGGGTACGTAATGTCAGTCATCGTTTTAAAGTTATTAGTTCCACAGATACATTATTTTCGTCTCAAAGAGCAGACCACCAGTGGCCCCAAACACTGCAAAGCAGACCACATCACAGCCTGAGACTCTCTCTTTCTGTCTTCTCATCCATCCATCCGTCATCTACCTCTATCAGCTATCAATGCATTGACCTGTCTCCGCACCTATATATCTACCATCTATCTACTCTCCCTCTGCACTTACACTTTTTACTCTATTTTCAGTATAAGATTTTTTTTCTCAAATATCTCTTGTGCAAATGCTGTAATAATCACTATAGCGATTCAACAAAATATACCTTTATTTTTCATCTTTCATTGCCCCCTGGGATTACTTTTCCACCCGAACACACAGAAAGTCAGAAAAATCTCATGGTTTTTCAGGCCGCTCTGAAGCAACTGACAGACCTTGGTTCTTATTGAAATACAAAGTATCTGCGTTCAGAAGTTAGAATACTATCTCCAGTGAAGGCATTGTTCAAATTTCTCAGTCTTTATTGTTCCAAGAAAAACTTTGTTCAATGAATCTGGTAATCATCGTGAAGAGGGCAGCTTGAAAGTCCCCCATCTCTGGAAAAGTGTTCAGAGGACCTCATCTGGTACAGAAAACTGACTTGGGGGAACAGAAGGGTGAGGTTTACTGACTGCCTGGGTGTGATTTCGGCTGGTCTAACCAGGAAGCAGCCTGCGACTGTCTGAGTCTCAATCTCAGCCACTGAAAATACAAATCCACAACAAAAAAGAAAACCTCCTAAGTTAAGCTTTTGTCTTGTTTGCCTGTTTGCTCAACCAATTTATGTGATTGGAGCAGCCTCGAAGATTCCTGGGCCCTTCTTTGTGATTTATCTCACACAGTAGGAATTTGTATCTGTTTCTGGAAATTTTTGCCCAGGAGGTAGACTCTGAGATGGAGATTGACCATACAAGCCATTTCCTGGAAAGTGATGCCATCCACACCTGTGGAGGAAGGAGGGAAGAGAGTTTGGGGTGGCGGGGGTGGAGCTGAACTGTAGTACTGTCACAACAGACTGTGCTGCTAAGATCTGCCACCACCAGCCTTCAGCCCTTCCTGCCACACTGGCGCTGTTTTTAATTGTTCCATCATAGCTGTTGAGAAGGCAGTTTCAGATCCTTCCCCCAGTACACACACGATGAGAGCTTTTACCTTCCGAGCAAGGAGCCATGTGGGGTTTGTATCAACTCTGAGTATGATCACTGTGATTACACATTTGGGGGCTGGGGAAATCCTTATTAACTCTGTTTATCAGGCACACCCACCTTGATTTAGACTTAGTCTGAGGCCCCAGATGCCCAGAGTGGAGTATCAACGTGAACCCTGCAGCCAGTAGCCCTCAGAACATTTGAGCACCTCCTTTGGCACTCTTCAGAGTAGCTTGAGTTAACTGTCACAGGACTCTTGGAGAAAGGAGTCGTGATCCCTTTAGACCGGTGGTTCTCAACTCCCCTAACGCTGCAAGCCTTTACTGCAGTTCCTCACACTGTAGCAACCCACAACCATAAAATTGTTTTGGTTGTTACTTCATAACTGTAACCTTGTTGCTGTTATTAATCATAATATAATAGTTGATATGCAGGCTATCTGATATATGGCTTCCATACGGGTTGTGACCTCCAGGTTGAGAACCACTGCCTTAGACCTTTCCTACAGTGCTGGAGTGTCTTTTGGGGGGGTATCTGAACCCTCCTTCTGGCAAGAAGGTCTAGGAGTAAGTACCGACTCGAGTCTGGAAACTAGACAAGGCATTGTGACTTGAGGTTGTGGTGGTTTGTCCTCAGTCCCTCTCACTGCTTGGCTTTGACGTATTTTGGTTGTAGAGATTGAGCAATAGTTTGACTGGCTGCTCATCCGTCTTGGCCCTGGGAATGTTGTGTTCTCTTTCTTCACCCCGTAGCTCGCTGAAGGTCATGTCTTCCTGGCTACTGCTCCAGCATTGCTTTACACTAGCGCATCTGTGCCCAGCCTCTTGCTAATGGGTGAGCCTGGCCTCCTGGAATTGACAGTTTAGGGGTCTCATCATCTGTGTTGTTATTGCAAAGCTCTGGTCTGTGGCAGAGTGTCCGCCACGGCTCTCTGAATCTCCTCCACGTCCTTGTCTGGCTTCCGGGACAGTAACAAGGGTTAAAGTCATGGCATAGACCAGCAGTGGAGATGCTGGCCATGAAAGGGAAGGAAAGCGCCCATTCCCTAAAGGCGGTGCTCTTGGCCATGCTGATGGATTTGACATTCTAGTTAGGTCCTTGGAGAGAATGCTGGCACACTACAGGGGAAGTTTGTCAGGCCCTTGGAGAAAAAAAGGCTTGCACTAACTGAACTAAAAATAGCAGAATTAATGTGGCCAATAGTTAATAGGGACAACTATTCAAAGAATAAGATGTGTTAAAATAAATATACTGTGCAAGGCTGGCACTCTGCTTATTCTGGTGATGTGGGACAAAGAGAGAGAGTGTGGCTCCGCAGCTCTGGAATCCATGGCGCCTTCTTTAGGTAAGGAAGGTTTTAGTAGTTGTTTTGT